TGGAGTTGTGGCGGATGGTAGGAACGGATTCGACGTGCGTGTACGGTACATCGCTTAGGCGTACAGCAGGTCATCCAGTCCAGTCCAGTCCATCCAATCTGTCAATCCAATCTATCCATCCATCCGTCCATCCAATCTATCCATCCATCCATCTATCCATCCATCCATCTATCCATCTGTCCATCCATCTATCCATCCATCATCCACCCATCCATCTATCCATCCAACCATCTATCCATCCGTCCGTCCATCCATCCATCCACCCACCTCTCAGTTCCATTTCTCTGGAGAACCCTGACTAATACAAACCTCCCTGCTCCCCCAATCATAGGTGAGGTGTGTACTCACTCTCCTTCTCATGCCAGCGTGCAGCGTGGAGATATTTCCCACAGTAATGAAACAGGAACTCGTGTGCCGAGTGCTCAGCATCTCCTTGCAGCAAGGGCATCAGGTTGTGGCCATCCATCACCCTGATTCAGCGAAGAGACCACAGGAGGGAATCAGGCTGAGGCCACTCAGACTGCATTTTGAACCTGGGACCTTTAGTAGGCTAAGGCTGCCAGGACTCCAGATGACACTGAGTAGAGGCTTGCTGGCAGCCCTGGGCAGAACACACAGGCGCCCGCGCACAAACACACACAGATACACCGACACACCAACACACAACATTCTGATCTCAGATACTAGCATAGAATCTTCTTAAATTCCAACTGGACTGCCCATGCCCTTAGACTGAACTCTAGGGCTGCAGAAATCTTTTTAAAACATTACAGATCCCAAGATACGTGGTCACCTGTGTAAAGTGTCTGGACAGGGGAAACCAGTGATGATGCCCCCATGACCTGATGGTCCTTCCTCACAACTCATCCTTTTTCAAAGTCCATAATCTGGATTTAACGTAGAAATGTGGTAGCTTTGCCTGCAATCGAAAACCACTTTTCGCCTTCTGTTTTATTTTAAACTATGTCTAAATGGGATGGTTTGACTTGAAGTCTGAGTGTCGCTGTGAAGGTATTTTGTAGGTCTAGTTAACGTTTACAATCACTTGACTCTGAGTAAGGCTGATCACCCAGGATAACAAGGGTGAGCCTCGACCGATCAGTTGAAGGCTGTCAAGAGCCAAGACTGAGGTTTCCGGGAGAAGACAGAATTCTGCCTCCAGACTGTAACATAAAAATCTTGCCTGAGTTTGCAGCCCACTGGCCTGCTAACATCAGGATTTCCCTTTGCCGGCCCCTACCATTGCATGAACCAATTCCTTAAAATAAATGTCTTATTTTACACAGATGTGCATACACACACACACACACACACACAATCGGTCCTTTCTCTGGAGAACCCTGATGATACACTACTAAACTAATAAATAAATGAGATGCTTCTTTTGACCATAAAAAAATGAGGATAGGATACATCATAATTATGCTTCACACAGGAATATTTACTGGTTATCTTAAAGCAAAATCAAATCTTTACAAAAATATTTACTTCTGTTTTTTCCTCTTGTATTAGAGGGACTTTGGGGCCCTGGTAAAGCACTTTAAAATCATAGTGTCATAGCTTCATCAACAGGTAGCCGAGACTGTATTTCAGGAGATTATCGGGAGATGTGGCAACGTAATGCCTGAATCTCCCCACTGTGACGCCGACATGGCATAACCTCGGCAACACTGCAAAACCTGTAGCTTGTCCCAGTTGTTCACTTAATCTTACATTTTACCGAGTTTGGTTATTTTATGCTAGGCTGTCCCCTATATTTCAGGACATGAGAATTTTTCAAATGTTCTCCTGTTGTAGGTTTTTCCCCTCTCCGATGTGGAAGAGGAAAGGGAGCCATCTCAGAATTAGGGAGGAGGTGGTCACATCCCCCGCGTACCTGTCCTGGGGCACCTGGCCGCCCCCCAGCCGGACCACGGTGGGGAAGACGTCCATCAGGCTGGTGGGCTCGTGGACCACTCGGCCGGCCGGCAGCACCCCGGGCCACCGGAAGATCCCCGGGACGCGGATCCCGCCTTCCCAGCCGCCCATGCCTTTGCCACCTGGAAGTCAACGACATCATTAGGGTTCCCCAGGAGACGGCCCCGTCTACACACACACCTGGGTGCACCTGGGTGCATGCGTCTATACACAGGCACCCACATCTACAGACGCACAGGGTGGCAGCCTGGAGGTCCCCAGAATGGCTGCAACCAGACCTTGTCCCTTCCCCACCAGTAGGGGGTGCCCGTTTCTACTCGTGAAATCTGGTGGGTCTCTGTAGCCACTTCAATAAGTGGGAGGTGGCAGGTGTGACTTCAGAGGCAGAAGTGGTGCTGGGACTTCATACCCATGGACTACGAGGCTGCCCTCACCCCCAAACGTCCTCTTTGGGGATGGAGGGACTGGGAACCGGGTCTGGGAACCTTCCGTCTCTCCTAGCTCATCACACCTCCCGCCTGTTTCTGTACCGACCCCTTCTTCATTTCTAAGGCGACCATCCCAGGGACCCCTGGTAATGGGTTGGGACCCACACTCGCTCTTGAAGGAATGCAAGTCATTATTAGGCATAAGGCAATGTGTTCATACCGCCCAGGACCTCTGGGTGAAGCAATCAGGAATTCCAGTGGGAGAGTTTTAAACAGGGAGAGACGTGTTCACAGTCTCACTCGGGCAACGCTGCTTTCCTGGAGTGCACATGTTAACCCTGTTGCATATTCACCTTCTACGGATGCGTAAGAAGCCACTGCAAGGTCAGCAGCTGACACCACCACCCAGCTGTGAGGTGTCAGCTGTGCAGGGGGGAAGTCTGGCGTGGCGTGGCTGGGTGGTCTCCTCTGGGGTCACACAGCCTGGAGTCAAGCTGTTGTTTGCAGACTATAACGCTGTAGGGTACAACTGCTGGGAACAATCCAATTCAACTACACATGAGCCTCTTACATCTTGGGGATGTAACTGGCAGATGGGAGAAGGGATGCACATCCAAGTTCGTTCAGTTGTT